ATCTAATTTAAGATATTACCTATACCAGGGTAGAATTTGATGTAGGATGCTAGATTATTTAATTCTGTAAGTAAGTAATCATTATTTTTAAGTTTAGATTCTCTGATTTTTACTATCTCATCTGTTGTAAAAAATGATGAAATAAAAGCTATTCTCTTATCATTTTCTTCATGAAAATAGCTCATACCATTATTTTTATCAATCTCTACAAACTTAGCATGAGGTAAATGATTGAGCTTAATAAGAGGATAATCTAGGTTTCGGTTTTTACTGATTTAATTAATCTTAAAGGGATCGCATTTTTAGAACAAGGTATTTTCTTAATACTAAACCTGCTCATTTGTGCTGAATTGATAAAACTCAATGTTGTTATCAAATGGACTCATTGAAAAATTACAATTTCTTCAATGATACTTTATAGTTTCTTCAGGAATAATTGGAGAAGTTATTCTTTTTTGAGTTAATGATCTATTTTTTATCTCATAAATTAAATACTTATTAGTACTAGATAAATATGTAAAAAGATAACCATCTTTGACTGTTGGGTACCACATAATTTCAGCACATTTATAGCTTATTAATGGTAGAACTTCGAGAGTGTCTAGATCATATCCTTAGATTGTTTGGCAATCTTTGAATCCAAAGATTACATTATTGTTCCAGCAAATTGTTAAATATTTAAATTCATAATCACCTTAAAATTCCTCAATAGAATTTTATATAACATCATACTTAAAAAGGGTCTTGTTAGCAACTATGATAATAAGTATCTGTCCTGTCTCTTCATTTTTAAAAAATTTATAAAAATTATCTCTGGTCAATTTTCCTAATTTTCCTTCAAAAGGATTTAATTTTTAAATTTTTGCAGTATAATCTTTAAGATTGATTATAAGATTCGTAAAAAAATTGTCATAGGAGAGCGCTGCTAATTGAATTTCTGAGTTTGTTATGGAAACAACTTAGTGCTATTCATGATGAAAGCTACCTTCCATAGTCAATTTGTGAAAAACTGAAAAATCATTTTATTTGACCAAGTAAAGTTCACTTCTTTTTACTCCAACCATAAAATATTATGAGCCTAATTATAAAAATGTAGTATAATCTGGATGAATGAGATTAGAAATTACTCCAATATCCCTTTTTTTAGATAAATCAAAGACATTCATTTAGTTGTTTTATAAGTATGTAATAAAATTTCTATCGGACTTGAATTTATTAGTATATTATACAACTAAATCATCTTCTTGATAAAACCTAGAGTTATAGAGTTTATAATGATAAAATTTTTTCTTATTATTGTTCAAATATTTTAAAAGACCATCATCATAAAAAATGAAGCAACTAAACTCTTCATGAACTTGGCTCAATGTGAATTGATTTATAAGATTAAATCTAAGTTTATCATATATTAAAATTGCTCCACTTGTTCCAGGTTTTTATTTTCCATGCATTACTATCGAATTCGGTAACACTAGTGGCTTTTTGTTTTCAAAACTAAAACCTTCGGAAGGGAATAGTTGTCCAATCTTAATTGTTAACATTGAGTAGGAATTTATTATTTAGTATAGATTGAATTAAGAATCATATCCTAAGTATTACATATCGTAGCTGAAAAAAATTTGATGATCAAGATCTTGCTTGACTTTTAGTGTTTCTTGATCAAATATCAATGTTCTAGAGCCTTTTTGATATGTAGCAAACAGACACTTACTAGTGAAGTAATTACTTATTTCAAAATCTGGGTAGCCAGTAATACTTTTCAAAACTCCATCAGGTGAAATGTAGATCAATGGTTCAGTTTTTCCTATTTCTCTTTTTGGTATATTTTAATACCATTCGTAAAGGTCATATACCTACGTAGTGGAAGAGTCAAGGTTTTAATAATCGCATTTAAAAAGCATGCAACTTTTATTATTATTTTTCTAGTCTCCATAGCGGTCTTCATCTTATTGTGAGAATATAATATAATTTAATGGCCCAAAAAATACATTCTTGAAATTATATAAATATTTTTGTGATATTATCTAAACAGCAGGTTCCTTATCATCAAAGTAGTCATCAATCTTTTGGATGCTGATTACTAGAGGGTTGGTTTCATTATTTTTCCTTGTAACACTTTAAAGAAGATATTCTCAGCAGGGAGAGATCTGAAATCTGTTAAAACTTCTTGTCTGATTTTATGTAGTGAGATCATTGTTTTCTCTGTCGAGAATTTTCAATTTAATTTCCTCGTATGTTTTGGCGTCTCTCAGCATGGCAAAGCCAACATTATCATCATTTGATCTACCGTTAATAAAAATTTAGGTTTAGTTTTTAACTAGCTATAAATCTCCTGCTTATAAATACTTTGAGTATCTTGATGATAGCTCACCTTCTTCAATTATGCTTATATCAGTCAAATTCACATAATCTTAATAAAGAGTTTTATTTTAATTGACTTGGACAATTGATTTCGATTGTTTTAGTTCTTGCAATGGAGAGTACTATTCTGGTTCTAATAGTCTTTCTAGTTGAGGTTTGGTTTATTCTTCTTCTTGCATATTTAGATATTATATTCTTGGAATTTAACTTGCCTATTTATAGGAAATTAATTCTTTCAAAGTCAACTAGTTTTATTTAAAGAAAAGTATTAAGGATAGCGAATAATAATTCTTCACTTTTTGAATACCGATCTGAATTATTAAGATATTTGCATTCAAATTAAATTTATTTTAGTTTAAACTCTTTTTTTGCATTCTTCCAAATTCATCATAAATGAGATGGCTTGGGGTTTTGGGGTTTTGGGG